TCTCTTACAATTTTGACATCCAATTTGACACTTTTCAAAACTGCCGAAAGTTTTGAAATACGAAATGAAAATATGGATAGGCGAAGAGAATAGTGCATTTTGTGCTGATTCCTCGATATCACTTGGATAATCTGAACTTGAATCAGCTATTTTCCACTAATGAAGATATTAAACGAGTCGATTTCTTGAATTTCGTCACTGATTTATTATTGTTTGGACAGATATTTCAAGTGACGGGCAAAGTGAACTCTCCCACTAAATTTTGTACATAATTCATCGAAATATCTAGCGCAAAAACAGTCGAATATCTGGGACTCACTTTGGACGAACAGCTATATGAAATGGGACAAGCACATTAGTTACTTAACACAAAAACTTCGCTACATTTGTCAAAATTCAGATATCTCGAAAACTGTCTTGACATCATTCATTCAAAAATAATGTACTATGCACTTATACATATCCATCTTCTTTATGGTATTGTGTCCTGTGGAGGCATGACTAACACACATTTAAATAAACTTGAAATTATACAAAAATGGTTTCTTAAGATAATATGAAGAATCTGGGTTATTAGACATTCGTTAAATATTTCTTTTCGCCATCAAAATACACAAAAGGAAAAACTTGATTACCATTCAGCATATCCAACATAATCATAATACTAGGTCCAAAGAAAACACATTAGTGGTACCTAATATATCAAAAACACTTGGTGCACGTACTATCATTATCAATAATCATAATCCATCCACGCTCCACTGTAAAATATATGGGGGCCCATCTTGACCAAAAGCTAAATTTCAATCACCACCCAGCAATTGCAAAAAATAAAGTTGAGGAAAGAACAGAGCATTTCAAATCTTTAACATATAAAGACAATGGCATCAAAATCAGCACTGCAAGTAGAATCTACAAATCAATCTGCAGACCAATATTAGAATATTACCACCCTCTATACCTGAACATAAGAAATCCAGAAATGAAGAACCTGCAAATAACCGAGACCTCCGCACTACGAACCATCACTAGAATGTGTCATCCAGACAGTTTTCTACCCAATAATCTGCTATAATACACGACCAAGGTGCAACAGCTACAAGAAAGACTACCAACACTGTCTATGAAATCAACTTCCAAGCCCGAGAAGATGAATCTGATTGAAGCACTCGACGAGTTCTTCAAAATATACTCATAGAAAATTTATTGCTTTTCATTTACCGGCTCTCATAAGGTCCCGTACCTACTCAAAAAACTCATTTTAGATAAAACAAATATTGGTGAGAAACTGGAAAGTTCTGAGTAGTCCTCAACGAAAATCAATAGGAATATTTTGTAGAACTCGTCGAGCACTACTCAGACCTGTTTTGTTTTTTACTACTGATTTTTCATCGAAATTGATAGTATTTTTGAGCTCGGGACATCATGAAAACTGTTGTATGAAGAAGTATCGATTTTTCTCTGAAACACAATTATCTTTGTTTAGGGTGAATATTAAAAAATTACAAATTGGGAAGTTATTGGCGAAAAAGATTTATTAACTAAAATATGTCTTAGGAGGCCTTGTTCTGGTATTAAGACATAACTTCCAATTGTAAACAACTTTTTTCTATAACATTTTGCTGAATTTTCTAATAAGGGTACTTTACTCTTGATAAATCTTTATATTTTTTGACATACCCTGTATGCTGTTCTACTTGCAACCATTCTAAGTGCACTTCAAATGATTACCGAACATGCACCAACTTACGGCACTATCTGTATTTTGTATAAATAGCTATTATGCATGACGGGACGTAAAGTGGCAATTAACCACACTGATTTGCGGGCGAAAAGTGGCATTTAGCGCCCTAGGGAGCTGAAGGCGTTCAGCGGGCGGTAAGGTAGTCCGGCGGGCGTTAAAGTAGATGATCGAGCTGTAAAGTAATTTCAATGTTTTCCCAGTAATTTCGAGTAGACTACCATTCGATCTTTCTTCGGCAGTGGCATACATAATTTGGCCAAATGAATTCAAAATCATTTATAAAATCCATATTGACAGTTGATAAATGTCTAAAATGGTCGTGTATAAAATGTTGTATGTATTTCGGGCGTAACTTGCTCTTGTGGACCTAGGCGTGTTAATAGCTAACGCTATTGCTCGGGCTCTTATACGCTGCGGTCCATAAAAGCCTACTTTACGCACTTTATACCTAAATAACTGTTATGGAAGGAAATTTAATTGTAAAGATGTCCCCATGAAGTTTGTATGATCTTCCTCTTTCTCTCTAATGCGTTAAATATACATAATATACATACTATAGTACACAGGTTAAGTAGTACAGCGTATGCACATGATGATGGCCTACGAGTTAAAATAATATCTACTCTTTTTTAGTTCATTCAATAGAAAACAACTACTTTCCTGGCTATATGCCACGACGAACATTGAATTATATCTATTGAAAACACACGATAAGAGTTTGAAAATAAAATATAAAAACTTCTGAAATTGAGAATTTGCATTCTCCTTCAGACAAAAATATGTATATGCACACATCATTCTGAATATTCAACAGAAAACAACTACTTTCCTGGCTATTTGCCACGTCGAACATTGAATTATATCTGATGAACATTCAAAAGGAGAACATGAAAAATAAAAAATAAAATCCTCCGAAATTGAGAATTGACATGATGTGTGCATATACATATTTTTGTCTGAAGGAGAATGCAAATTCTCAATTTCAGAAGTTTTTATTTTTTATTTTCAAACTCTTATCGTGTGTGTTCAATAGATATAATTCAATGTTCGTCGTGGCATATAGCCAGGAAAGTAGTTGTTTTCTATTGAATAAACTGAAAAAGAGTAGATATTCTCATCACATATAGAATGCGAATTCTCAATGTATTGCTTCATATAATTATATATCCATTTTTGAATGTCCATAATTTATCTGAGAATATTCCTTTTCAACACTTTCATACCCAATCGGGGGGTTCAAACTTGAACGATGGAAACTTGTGATTTTTATAGACCTCTAATCGCAGATTCGTGATAGAGTCTCAATTCAGAATTTCTTTCCACGCCCTGTTTGATGAATGTCAATTTATCATACACCCAAAAGCTGAAATGAAAATGTTTGTTATTTATTCATTCACCTAGAATCCGTTTTTTCAATTCCGTTCGGAATTTATGAAAGGGAAGATTTTTTATTTGTCCTGGCAATTCATTTTAATATTTTATACATTTATCCTTAGCATCTCGTAAACCGTAAGAGATACCGGGTCGGTTAAATCATGGCAAAATTGCGCAATTTTGTGCCCAACAAAATGCCGTTTTGAAACTTGGGATATTCCGAATACGTTCGGAGATACCGGGTGACCAGTTATATTCTGACCCATTTCAAATGCTTATATCTCTGAAACCATTCAAGTTATCGTTGTGCAGTTTGGACTAGTCTATTTTGATATTTTTCAAGTTTTTTTTGACAGGTTCACCTTCTCTCTTGAACTTCCGGTTCTACCGGAAACAAACTAGCCATTATTCAGGTATAGGGCAACTTTTTTATTTCATTGAATCACCCTGTATATTTTTGCACATTCAGAAAGACTGGTCTTTTCTCTTTCTAACAATGTATAACAAGTTATGTTTTCTTAGAAAACTATCAGAGTTATAACTGTTTGAAACAACTACTGCATGTGGAATGGTTTAATGAGATTTTGCAATGTAACCAAAGTCGTCTTTGGAAATCCTGATCACAACACATGAAATGCCAGATTAGATGTGTCAAATAAAGATTGTCGAGCATTTGTACTTTCTTCGAGTTGAAAAAATGTTTACTTTGACTGAAAAAGCAAATGAACTCATCATAAATCTGCATCAGATTTATACTCAATATACGGTAATTCAGCATTTCAGGATAACATCCTAATATGCAGTAGATGCTTCAAAGAGTTATAACTCCGATAGTTTTCTAAGAAAACATAACTTGTTATACATTGTTAGGAAGAGAAAAGACCAGTCTTTCTGAATGTGCAAAAATATACAGGGTGCTTCGATGAAATAAAAAAGTTGCCGTATACCTGAATAATGGCTAGTTTGTTTCCGGTAGAACCGGAAGTTCAAGAGAGAAGTGAACCTGTCAAAAAAAACTTGAAAAATATCAAAATAGACTAGTCCAAACTGCACAACGATAACTTGAATGGTTTCAGAGATATAAGCATTTGAAATGGCTCAGAATATAACTGGTCACCCGGTATCCGAAAAAATCCGATATCTCCCAAAACCTTGTTTCTTTCTTTTCCAATCATTTCTTAAAATCAATCGAAATGAATGACACTTTTTACTCCATACAAGTTGGCGTTTTTAAATTTGAAATCCGACGTTTCGTGTTCCAGAAACCAATCATCAACTTATATTTTTTTAAATACAGACCTGGATCTTTTTTTTCTAACCTTTGGATATCCCAGAAACTATGAGCTATCACACTTTTATGTCATCGGATCTTTGAGTAACATAACTAAATATCTGATAATTCCTAATTGAAGTTGAAATTTCTTTGCACATGCCGTTCGGCGGTGGTAATCTCTGACCGACATTGAAAACTCGTCAAGCAATGATTCAATGCAAAAATAACTCACGGCTGATGATGGACAAAACTATTTTTCACAAAACTAATTGAAAAATCAACCACTGAATTTTTCACACCATTTCAATGATACCCTGAATAAATGTATAGTAATGTTGATGAAATGTGTCATATTGAGAAATATTATGAGAAAAAAAATTTAATAACAATTTTTTTGATTTAAAAAAAAATCTTTATCTTTTGCAACTCTAATCATATCAGAGACAATCATTTTAACCATTCTCCAGGGAATCAATATTATTTTTTTGGTTTAAAACATATTTGAGGTTCTTTAATTTTATTCCGAATAATCAACGAAGGATTAATCGAATATCAATATAACAAACATGTATGCATGTTTTCTATTTTCCAAATGTGTTTCTTTTATAGAACAATGGGAGATAAATTAGGTGAGGCCAAATCTTCAGGAAATTTGGGAAATACTCTGAAAGTGATGGGACGCTTCGATGAAGCAGTGGTTTGTTGCAAACGCCATTTGGAATTATCCAGAGAACTTGGAGATAAATTGAGTGAGGGACGAGCTCTCTATAATCTAGGAAATGTCTATCATGCCAAAGGAAAACATATTGGGAGAGTAGGCCATAAAGACCCTGGAGAATTTTCAGATGACGTGAAGAGTTGTCTTCAGCAAGCAGTGACATTTTATGAGTAAGTAATGAATTGAGAATTATAGTCAACTCAAATTCGTATGTAATTTTTATCCAACGGCAATCTGGAATCATGTGATAAAAAAAGACGTAATATTCAGTCCATAATAAATCATTCATGTCTTTGCCTGTCTGGATGCTTTGATGAACCAGGTAGACCCAAAACGGCTTTGAGATATACACATCATCAAGTGCCATCAAAGGAACACATTTATGGAAGAGAAATCCAATACACGTGTATTTTGAAAGAGTCATGAGGTTTTTTTCCGAAATTCACAAAAAGAGGTCCTGTGGGGTTTATTCTTGCCCGAAAATATATTGAGATATACAGATTATTAAGGGCCCTTAGAGGAATACATTAATGGAAAATAGTTTCATCCACGGACATATTTTGGAGGTTTCAGTAATTTCATGGCCAGTCACGAGTATAAATTCGACTAATTGGCGAGATCGTGGCTGGTTTCACACTAATGTAAAAATACAGTATCACTACCTCTACAGTAAAAACAGCTTTAAGAGAATTGAGCTACACAATTCATTTTTCAAAAAGTAGTAAATATATGGCAAAAATTACACTGTAAATCGGTAAGTACATTTTCTAGAAAAAAAAAAATGGATTGGGATTTTCTCATTGTGCTCAACATGAAGACCTTTTCGGCAAATTGTTGGACGTATGTAGCATTCAGGTGTTTGTCTCAGTATAAGCAACAGTTTGTTTTTTATTCTAGTATAGAGCAAAGCACCTTATACAAAACCTTAAGAGTCAAATAAGTTGATTTTCAATTTCATACATTCCGAAAAAAATTTGAAGTTGCCATTTTTTAATGTAAAAATCTAACCGTCATGTCCCATGAGCACACTGCTAGAATAACTGGGTGAACTGCTATAGGTCCAGAAGATATAGGTTCCTCATTAAAATAACAACAGACTTTAAATATTTAATCGGAACCTGCCAAAGCGTTTTCAGATATTGATAAAAAATCAATTTTCAACCAGAAGATTCTAAACATCATGTTAATGGAAATTTTTCCACATATTTTGACCCAAGGAAATCGGTTTTTAATATTCATGCAATATTGATGTGTCATACTATATAACAAAAATGCTGTTTAAAAACACATTCAATTACAGGCTAAAGGACCTCGGCCGGTAGCCTATAACCATTGTTGTCAAACCCAAGGACAAATAGTCATGAGGATGAATTTCAATATGGGCGAATAGTCATGAGAATGAATTTGAATATGGGCAAATAGTCATCAGGATGAATTCGAATATGCAATATGTACAGGGTGATTCACCATGAATGTTCCCCCCCTCTAGCTCAGTTGTTTTCGAACCGATTGCAAAATTTTAAACATCATCTAAAATGATTTTCGATAGAGTTTTTTTCCGCTACATCAGAAAATGCAAGGTGCTCGGAACAAACGATCTACAGAGTACTATTTGATTTTTTCGAATGGAACACCCTGTATTTCATTGTATTTTTAGATTCTCCCTGAAGAGCTGATTTCATCAATGCATCACACTTGGGGTCTAGCGGGAATGATTACAGAGATATAGGGTGTTCAAAATCGAGATTTTTCAACTTTAGTATTTTTTTGTGTCGAAACTATTCATTATTGGTCAAAACGACTACAATGTCCCTATCTCAACTTTTGATTTACTTACTGACATTTAATAATTGGAACAGATATAGGTTGATCAGAATTCTGAATCTTGAACCACACTGTATTTGTTCCAATTAAATGTCAGTAGATAGTAAATCAAAAGTTGAGATAGGGACATTGTAGTCGTTTTGACCAATTATGAATAGTTTCAACAACACAAAAAATACTATAGTTGAAAAATCTCGATTTTGAACACCCTATATCTCTGTAATCATTCCTGCTAGACCCCAAGTGTGATGTACTGACAATATCAGCTCTTCAGGGAGAATCTAAAAATACAATGAAAAAATCAAGTAGTACTCTGTAGATCGTTTGTTCCGAACACCCTGTATTTTCTGATGCAACGGGAAAAACATTTCTGAAAAATCATTTCAGATGATTTTTCAAATTTCTTAATCGGTTAAAAAATAAGTGAGCTAGAGTGGGGGACATTTATGGTGAATCACCCTGTACTTCGCCAGGAGGAAATGGTCTCATAAAATGCATTCACATAACCTTATTGATTTAATTCAGTTCAATTAGTTTCAAATATATTCACAACAGAGAGATGTTGGCCATCATTGGAAATGCAATTTTCAAGCACATAATAAAATACACTCCCCGACAATAAATTCCGGACAGTGGAATTTTTAGCAAAATTGTTCGTCCTGTAATTTCTACCAAAACGTAAATTTTTGTTTCGCAATTTCAGCCTGAAATTATATTCTGAAAAAAACATCGTCCTGATCATTATACAGGGAAAGACAAAAGAAACTTTTTTACCCTCAACTTCTTAACGCCCTGTGGCAAAAGTGAGCAATTGATATGATCTCCATTATAGTTAGTATTGAAGTGTGATTCCTTCTCAACATATCTGTTCTTTCATTCGCGTCAATATCTTCTTTTCAAGAGAAGATACAAGGGTTTCAAGAGAGAATGAAGTATTGAACTACCCAGTATATTTTTATAGAATTTGGTATGGACCTTAAACTTGGGACGTTGAATGCATTCACCTATCCAGTTTCGGCTTCAGGAAAAATTTACATTTATTCGAAATATTAAAATAACACACTATGTAATAATTGACAAAGTTCATCAAAGGAATCGTGAAGAGGAGGAAAAACTGAACTGGATCTGATGCTTTTTGTTTTCCCTCCACCAATTATCATCGTAACAATCATAAACAGGAAGCTAAAAGTATGTCAATTTCAAGAGTATTAAAATTATGAAACCACTTTCAATCATGATTATTTGATATATTCTCGTTAAATGTTTGTTCGAAAGAACTTACTGTGTCTCACAGTCTAAATAACAGAGATACAGGATGAATTATCACTCGTCCATAAGTATTAAACTACCCATCGCAGTAATATTTTCTCAAATTTGCTATTGAGCTTACTTGGGACGATGGATTCATTGACCTATCAGGCAGAATGGAAATACAGGTTCAGCTTCAGGAAAAGTCTCATAGTCTTTATAACAGAGATACAGGATGAATTATCGAATTATAATTCCGCCTGATAGGTTAATGAATCCATCGTCCCAAGTGAGCTACATACCATATTTGAGAAAATGTTACTGGGTAGTTTTATACTTATGGACGAGTGAATAATTATTCAAAACCGATAATTCACCCTGTATCTCCGTTATAAAAACTGTGAGACTTAGTAAGTAAGTAGTAGTAAGAATAATCATAATTGACACTGGTTTCATAATTTCAATACTCTTCAAATTGACATACTTTCAGCTTTCTGTTTATGATTGTTACGATGAGAATTGGTGGCGGGAAAACAAGAAGCATCAAATCCAGTTCAGTTTTTTCTCCTCTTTACGATTCCTTTGATGAACTCTGTCAATTATTACATACAGTGTGTTATTTTAATATTTCGAATAAATGTGAATTTTTCCTGAAGCCGAATCTGGATTTTCTCTTCGCCCGATAGGTGAATGAATTCAACGTCCCAAGTTTAAGCTCCATACCAAATTTTAGAAAAATATACTGGGTAGTTCAAGACTTATAGACGAATGAATAATTATTCGAAATCGATAAATCGCCCTGTATCTCCGTTATGAAAACTCTAAGACCTATCAAATATGGTATTTTCAGAACCACCTTGGTGACCCCTATCTACCATTGAAATATTTCCCTTTACCTGTGAAACACCCTGTATATGCAGCTTCACATATTCCAAGTCTTCATTTCTGAAATTTCATGTATTTTTTACCTGTGTGTGTGATAGATCAAAAGTGCACCTTCCTACCTGTCAATATAACCATATAAAATGTGTTTACAAAACCATGACATGCCTGCTTCACAGGGACATTCACATTGCCACAGCTCATCATTTTCCTTTGGAATTATCTGAATCTCATGTGGAGGCTGCCCAAGAGCAGATGATTGTAAACACAGGCATTTTATAACATTTGTTTGTTCTATATCCACTCTTGACTCCACACATGATAATATTATGATGTGACCAGCCTTGAATAATACTACACCATATTATTATACAACCTCTCACCCTCTTTCAAAGATATCTTCAGTCTTCTTGTCACCATGTTTTCAACTAAAGTCTAAAATTTGCGATTCTTTCGAATTCAAATTCAAAAAATTTTTTCAATACATTTGACAGTGACACAAAACGAAATCTACAATCACGTGGCGGGGAAACAGTGACGCCACGCCCCTCCGCACACCCCCGCACCATAATGCTTTACTATGAGGTAACCTTATAGAAGTTAATAGACCTTGAGTGTCAGTTATTTTCAATGAACGAGTGCTGTCAAATTTCATCAATCTGTCGGAACTTCAATTTCTCTCTATTCTGGAGATCGGAGTTATTCTTCGGAATTTTGACACTTCTTGGTGGACTGTTAGAAGTTGATGGTCGGTGTCCTGCTGGTATATCCAGGTTTTGAAAGGGAATCCTTAGGGATTTTGTACTATTCTGGCAGTAGAGTATTTTTGATCTACACTGCAGGATTTGGAAATACGCCAGTCAAACACAACTTCAACCCTTTTTGATAAAGTTGAGTCGTTTCTTCTTTTGACCCCTAAAAGTCGGTCCGCCATGATTCACTCAGGTCATTTGTTTTAGGGTTCTAAGTAACAATCGCAATATTAGGTTACGTGCAAGACTTTTAGCATATGATAGTGACTTTTAGGTTACAGTTTGAACATTCCAGGTTCTAGTTGCACAATTTTAGAGTCAAGTTTTATGGTCAGTTCAAATAACCTATCCTACGTTGTATTCATCAGGAGATTTCCGTTTAGCCTTTGGAAATTCCTTCCAAGATATATAGTTCCTGTCCACTGAGAGAGGAGGGACATCCACCTTTTGACTACATTCATGTCAGCAGTGCAGTCGAGCTGTCTACAGGGAATATTTGCATCTAGAGGTTCGCTTATATCTCCCAGCTGCCCACCATCAGCTTGAGAGGGCCTGATTAGGAGAGGCCTACTCCCTTCATTCCCCCACGGTGATGTAATGGTTACAGCATAAGGATCATAAGCAGGCCAGAGTTCTTTTTTCTAATATTTTTATAACTTCAATATTGTATCCCCTTGATTCCTTAGTATTCATGATAGATCATCAACATATGTAACCCCAACCATAGTACTATGCGGCGGCGGATCTCCCTTCAAAACCAATGAATATGCTTGAGATTATGATTTATTGAAGTATCTACCGATTTCTATCTCAATATTCTGGTTTCTTTCATCTTATTAAAAGTTGCTATAGCGCCTCTTCTTAATTTTTATTTGAGTAATTCGAATAATATGTTTGAGCTGAAAAATCTAAAAAAAACTCACACCTAGTGCATACCGACGAGGAGCTGCCGTTCGCACGTGACAACTATCATTTCTTAAAAGTATAGGTCACACTCCCTAGGTACGCACGATGTTTCACGAACATTATAGGAATTTCCTTACGTTCTCCCCAAGAGATAAGGAAAATTCATTAACCCTCACAACGGCGCATTGGGGGCGGGGGTTGATCCTTGCAATATTCGCAATATGTCGTTATGGACCTAATTTCGATTCACGCACATTTTGAAACATTTCGATTCAGCCACAGTCTGAACACACATGAACGATACCTTGTTGCCAAAGATCGATGTCGAAAAATATACTTCTAGAAAAAAAGGTTCATTTAGGTTGGATTGTTTAAAAAATGTAGTATCTTCCTTTATGCAGAAAGGAAATTGTCCTGCCTTATACAGGGTGTTGCGAAGTTCGACCGACAACGCTTGACAGGTGACAGTCCTAGTGATTTCATAATCACTGAGATAGGGACATAAGGTCTCCAAGTGTTCAGTTCTCGAGATACAGGACGTTGAAGTTGAGAAATTAAAATAGTTTTTTCGCAATATCGCAAGAAAAATTGAATATAATGCATTCAAATTCGGAATATGGTTTCATCTTTCAATGGTTCATTTTTTGACCAGGAAGACATTCCGAGAATTGTATTCATAGGTGCGCTACAGAGGGTTGTGATAACTTTTCCTCCCATATTTTCTACGCCACTGACGAAATTTTGATTATTTCCAACTTCTCGAATTGATTGTTCAATTATTATGTTGAAAAAATGTATCACCTTCAACTGAGCTTAAATGAACAGTTATCGAGATATTCGACCCAAAATAGAAGTTTGCATAGTAATTTTCCATCTTCCTCAGTAGTAGAAAATTACAAAAATGTTTGTTTTCTCTTTATGCGTGGAATAACTATTTCTGTTCAGCTACATGATGAGATCTGAATAGTAACTGATCTACTCAACACCGGAGATATACTATTGCAATTTTCTACTACTGAAAATGATGAAATATTACTATGCAATTTTCTATTTTGGGCCGAATATCTCGAAAACTGTTCATTTCGGCTCACTTGAAGGTGATACATTTTCTGAACAAAATTGAACAATAAATTTGAGTAATTGAAAATAATCGAAATTAAATCAGTGGCGCAAAAAATATGGGAGGAAAAGTTACCACAACCCCCCGTAGGGCACCACTGGATAGAATGTCTGGTAAAAAAATTACCCATTCAAAGATGAAACCATTATACCGATTTTGAGTGCTTTATATTCGATTATTCTTGAGATATTGCGAAACAACTATTTTTATTTCTTAACTTCAACGCCTTGTATCTCGAGAACTGAACACTTGGAGACCGTATGTCCCTATCTCAGTGATTATGAAATTACGAGGGCTATCAACTGTCAAGCGTTGTCGGTCGAATTTCGCAACATCCTATATATCGTCTTCGAAATTCATGGTATAGCGATAATCATAAAACATTATCGCCGAACAGTAACAAATAATATTGTTGAAGAAAATATAGATTTTTAGACTACATGGGTCAAGATCCAATCAAGTTTTTTGGCATATATTTTTTATACTAACATTTTGTTCAATAAATAATATAACATCAATGCCGAACATGAATACATGATTCACGCATAATCTAAGACAAAAGTACGCGGGGGTGGTTGGCCCCCGATCCTACCAAAATGTTCGGCAATCATATAATTCTGAATTTTTCTGAATAATTAGTTGAATCAACAAGATGCCGAACATTAACAAATGATAATTTTCTATTAAACACTTATTACAACAATATACAGTGCCACTCGTATCCACTCTGCACGTTCGGCAATGCCGTCCGCCCAATCTTTTTTTTCAATTACAATTACTTTCGACATACGCTGAACGGTGAGTGATGATCCGAGATCCCGGGTTAATAAACCGAGAGGGTGAAGTTGTATTAAAAAATACAACTTCACCCACGCGGTCCCCACCCTTTGGTCCACAATTTTTATTCGGTGAGTGTGAACAAATGAGACACAAAAAACACGTAGTGGGCTCCTAGTCTAGGTAGCTAATAATGCTCTTTATATTGTATTAGATTCAACCATTTTATCCTGAATTCCATGAGGTGATTAGAGGTACTCTTTGTGGATGAAATAAAACTCCATGGAAAAACACAGAAGATACCTTGTAAATGCGCGATGATTCTGATTGGTTCTGTAAAACAAGAGTGAAATAATCATTCAAATATTTTGATTTATAGAGAAAATCTGGCTCTCATGCAAGACCTGACCGATGTTGCTGCACAAGGTAGAGCTTGCGGTAACTTAGGCAACACATACTACCTCCTTGGTGATTTCACACAAGCCATTCACTACCATGAAGAGAGGTTATCGATAGCCAGGCAGTTCGGGGACAAGGCTGCTGAAAGACGGGCTCATAGTAACTTGGGAAATTCACATATCTTCATGGGACAATTTGAAGAGGCTGCTCATCATTACAAGTAAGTCTTAATCTTTTTATTTTACAGGGTGGTTCTTAGGTTATTGCACAATGCACATAGATGAACAGGATATGATTGTGATGTTGAAATTCATTCACATCACGTTTTTTGTGCATATATGTATGCAGAAAATATGAGGGACTCTGGATTTTGTGTGGTTGTATGAGAAATAATGAATTAGTATCTATTTTATATTTTTGAGGGGACACCAAACGTACCACATTTCTGACATAAATGCATGCAAAACATTTCATTATTCAAGTTAGCCCTATTTCTATTGGAAGAATATTAAAGGCACATGATTTCAACAAAAAAGAATTATTATACTTGTTGCTTTTGGGTGTATCATAAATTGACATTCATCATACAGGGCGTGGAGAGAAATTCTGAATTGAGACTCTATCTCGAATCTGCGATTAGAGGTCTATAAAAATCACAAGTTTCCATCGTTCAAGTTTGAACCCCCTGATTGGGTGTGAAAGTGTTGAAAAGGAATATTCTCAGATAAATTATGGACGTACAAAAATGGATATATATTTATATGAAGCAAAACGGCAAATCTCCTGGACTGGATGGTTTAACGTCTTATTTGCTCAAAAAAGTATGTGATTATATAATCCGCCCTCTCGAACATATATTCAACAACATTTTCCTACTTGGCAAATGCCCATCTCACTTTAAAATCTCAAATATCAAACCCTTATACAAATCAGGTGATAAATCAAGAGTCACAAACTATCGGCCAATCTCACTTTTATCAAATATAACCAAAATTTTTGAAAAATTGTTCAAAGCAAGAGTCATGAGTTTCGTAAGTAAAAATAAAATCTTGAAGAATAATCAATTCGGGTTTCAAAAAGGTTTATGCACAGAAGATGCAATGATCGTTTTATCGAAATCTATCTATGGTGATATTGACAAGTCATTGCCTACTGCTGGTGTATTCCTAGATTTGAGAAAGGCCTTCGATACCGTTCACCATGAGTTGCTTTTACAAAAACTACAAATTTTAGGTTTTCGCGGAAATGTACAAAATTTGGTTAAAAGCTATATAAAAAACAGATCACAAAAAGTGACCATACAAGAGAGCATCAGCTCAACACAACCAATTGAATTTGGAGTTCCTCAAGGAACTGTTATGGGGCCCATATTATTTTTGATTTATATCAACGATCTTCTCGACCATGATGAAAATAGCAAATGCATATCATATGCAGATGATACAGTCGTTTTGGTAAACGGAAAAACTTGGGAAGAACTAAAAATAAAGATGCAGAAATCTATGAAAATCATAAAAAATTGGCTCGATACCAACCTTCTAACACTCAACTGGGAAAAAACTAAATGCTTACCATTTTTTATAGACAGCCGTACAAAACCAAATTTTAAGGAAATGATCTTACACAATAATAATTGCATTGGCGATATGAATCCTATCTGTAATTGTACATCAAAAATAGAAGTAGTTGAAGATATTAAATATTTAGGAATCAACTTAGATACAGGCATGCGATTTGATAAACATATAAAAATAACTGCATCCAAGCTTCGAAGAAGTATATTTATTTTACGAAAATTGCGAAATTTCATGAACAAATCAAACTTGAAAATTGTATATCATGCTTTATTTGAATCCATCCTGCAGTACGGTATCTTAGCATGGGGAAGTAGCTATCAGAGTACAATCAATCCGTTGGATATTTTGCAGAAAAGGGCTATAAAACTTATACTTCAGAAAACTCAAAGGTATTCTTCTGAGCTATTGTATCAAGATCTTAATGTGCTTCAATTGAGGAAACTGTATGCATACAAAGTCTTTTTGAATATTTCCAAAGATCGAAATTTAATACAGTCTGTTAGTATGGAAAAATATAACACAAGACAAATTTCACAATCCATAGCAGAGATTCCTAAAAAGTGCAAAAGAATTTCTCAAAAATGTATTTCATATGTAGCACCCAAAATATTCAACCTACTCCCTCTACACATTAAAATAGAAAATTTCAAAAATGCACGTTTCAAAAAAGAATGCAAGAAATGGCTTTTCGCATTTGATATCACGATATTAAACAGAGTATTCATTTGATATTCAATCTACAAAGTTCATTACAGATTAGGTAGGACACTCAAATTTGAACCCAACATTAATACGTACTATATATGAATACTGTATTCTAATGAATTTATTTATGTTATTTTGATTTAAATAATACGTAGGTATGTGGTTTAGTATAGATTGAGTTTAAACCAAATATTATTCACATATTTTTGAAACATTTATACTATTTTTCGTGCATGATTTTCTCCACTCTCTTTAATGTATAGAAAAATAAGCATATATATATTATAATATTATTGTTTATACAAGTCTCGTTCACCTGTGAGGAAGTGTAGTCACGCGCTGGCATACTGCTGCCTTAGTGACCATATTTTTCTTTATCCTGCATTGAAAATATCTAATATATGTATACTCATTGAATATTTATGTTGTTGAACATGTATTCATTTTGTAAATTTTTCTGAATAAAGAAATCAATCAATCAATCAATCAATACATTGAGAATTTGCATTCTCTATGTGATGTGAATATCTACTCTTTTTCGGTTTATTCAATAGAAAACAACTACTTTCCTGGCTATATTTCACGACGAACATTGAATTATATCTATTGAACACACAGGATAAGAGTTTGAAAATAAAGTATAAAAACTTCTGGAGTCCGATTTTTCGGACCTCTGAAAACGAGGTGATGATGTGACGTCAAAACCCTGATACTGAAACAAGACTATTCCAGACTGGGATGAATGGTACATGATTTCTGACAGAGTGGATATATCAATTGCCTCAGTCTCCGTCGGGCGTTTGGCATTTTTTTTAACTATGGCGAGATGGGGTTTCTACGTCATAAGAGGGTCCGTTTTCAGAAGGTACTTTTATTTATGTCCAAAAATAAAACATTTCAGTTAATTTTTCGATCGAATGATGTCGTCAATCATTATTTATGTATAAAAGGATGGAAAAGGTGTACACGCCCATTGGGCTATAATTGTTGGGCAGGCTCTTGTTTCCTTTTTTGGGGATTGGTGAGTCCAACCAATGCTATTTTCCAACAACGCTATTTGTGTAGCTCAACTTCTTGGACAGCAATTCGAAGTAGTATCAAGGACATGCCTGTCCTCAAGTCATCTTTGCAAGAGACTACAATGTTCAAAAAATTGCCAATATGTGGTTGCCAACTCCTATTCAAAGAACTTGCGATAAAACGATTCACCAAATTGAAAACAAACAGGGTTCACCACAACAAAATCAACCATCAATAACGACAAATATAATACCATACATTCCCGGCATATCTGAAAAAATAAAACGTGTTGGTGATAAGTTTCAAGTGAAAACTGTTCAAAACTGAAAATATAATGAGTTCAATTCTAACTCAAACAAAGCCGACGAATGAAAAACAATCATATAAAAATTATATTTACAGTAGGTATATCTTGTGTTTGTGGAAAGTATTATACAGGTGAAACAATGCGTCCTCTCTCAGTAAGGATGAAAGAACATAAGTACAATGTGAAGAAAATAGATATCGACAAATCAAAACTAACACAACATATCCTTACTGAAGATGGTAGAGTGGAATAATATTAACATCTCTGGAAAACCAGCTAACATCCAAAAGAGAAAAATCGAGGAATCCGCTTGCATTCTTCTGAACGGAGACAATAGCTTTGCTTCCTGTTCAATTGATAGAAATAGAACATAATATTGACTACTAAAATCTGAACATGAAAATGGTAAATTCAAGATTAATTAAATAAAACATCCTGTAACTCATTTGTATGCCAACGTCACCATTTGTCACTGATAAGTGTCAAAACTAATATCCGAAAACTATTTTGTGAGAATAATATTTTCCATTTTTATGTTGAAAACGGAAGCAGATTCGTTGGCAAATCGTCCAAAAATAATTGAAAATTTGATATTTTTTCTGTATACCTATATTTCTCTTCTCCAAACCCTTTTCGAAACAAAGTGTCACTGATAAGCGAATGAATTTTTTGTTAGACTCTCCTATCAGAAAGTTGCACGCCACTGGACATATTCCGGGAAAGATGTAATCTGCTGAATTACTTATTGAATTCTGGAGAAGTAGTTCGATTTATTTGTGCCCATGCTCAATGAAGGATATACTGGCATCAAGAATACATTTTATCGATATTTCATACATAAATAACAAATAACAACAGTGGATTAGTTTCGTAAAGTTCATTGGCAATTTTGTTATAAATATCAATGGAACGCATTTTTGAATCCGTTTGGAGGCGTTTTATTATTTACATATGTGCAAGATAGATATATTAAATAACTGTTTTAAAAAACTGTACATTGACACCAACATCGACCTGTTTGAGGAATTATATTATAGGAGAATTATAGAAATGTATCTTGCTTCATCTTCACATTATTTTTTCCAGGCGTACCTTAGCTCTCGCCCAAGAACTAGGTGACCAGGCCATTGAGGCACAGGCATGTTACAGCCTGGGCAATACATATACACTTTTGAGGAATTATGAAGCTGCAATAGAATACCACCTGAGGCATTTGCGCATTGCACAAACTCTCTCCGATAGGGTGGGCGAAGGAAGAGCATGTTGGTCATTAGGGAATGCCCATGCTTCCTTGGGAAATCATGAAAAGGCTTTAGCATATGCCAAGAGTCACTTGGAGATTAGTATGGAGGTAAATATTTTTTTCTCCAAGCGGCATAGAAAGTGGCTTTTCTCTGACACTTAACAGGCCGGAAAGGTGTACTTTCTCTGTGTAGGCTATGCTATGCAACGTTCCAAGAAATTTGAATGAAATTGGTAATCAAAATTGACACTGACATTAGGTGAACACAAGATGATGGAGTTTTTACTAATGATACCACCAGAGCTTGCATTATTATATCAGACATTATTAGCACTCTGCTCTTAATTTCTATAAAATCTACAATAAAATACAATAAGTCAATAAATAAAAACATAGAAATATGGAACTCAGACACAGACACATGAATTCTCCTTTCTCAATTGATTAATCAATAGTTTTCTTTCACAAATAACACACACAATTCTTTAAAACTGTCTAGTGACACACATATTTTTATTTCACAGGGCAAATTATTGAACAATACTAGACCTGTTGTAAATGGAGTATCACAGACAATATTTCCAGAATTCATGTAGAAATAATTTGCTGCTAGTCTTCTGGTATTGTGACAATGTACATCTTGAACATAATTTAGCTCATTTGATAAATACAAAGGCAACATGTAATTTTTCAATTCATAAACAAAAATAAGTGTATTATATGAAACTCTTTGTTTGATTTTCATTATTTGCAATGTGTTTAGCATTGTTGTGACTGGTGTGCGTCTTTCACAACCCAAAACCGCTCTCATTGCAGGATTTTGGATTTTTTGCAGTGTTTTAACATGTTCGTTACTCAAGAAACTTGGTAAAGTACCACAATAATCATTACTATATTACTGGAAACAGACGAGGGAGAATCATCTAAATATTCGTGTTTGAAAAAAAGTCCGGTTTTTAATTGAAGCTAGAGTTGTATTCCGTAAACAAATTTCACGTGGAAATATTATTGAAAAAATATTAGTAAAAAATTACGCTAAATAAAATACAGAATACCGACTAGAGTTAAAAATATTAATAAAGTAGCTGGTGGTAGTTCAAACCATTATTCTTGACTTAACTTAATTCCAAGTTGGTGAAGTCATATTTTGTTACAAGGAACTCGAAGCAGTATGTAGTATTAATGGAATTCACATCCATAACATTGTTATGGTTTATAAAAGACACTCAAGTTACTTTAGTTACACGAAATAATAAAAAATAAGTCGATAGTTACTTAATTTCTCAGTTTTTCACAAATTCGTTCCACTAAAATTGGTAGAAATATATTTCCTCACAAGAAATCATGAAAATTGCTCACGATATGTAATTTGAATAAATATAATATAATTCACTCACTTTAGTTTAATGGAATAATAAAAAATAAGTCGATTGTAGCTTCATCTTTCAGTTTTTCACACATAAATTTATAGATATATTTTTTTGCATGGAACTTATCAAGTTATACAATTAATTCGACATAATCTGAAGTTGAATGTCAATGTCATGTCAATGTAATTTCATGCTCTTTTCCGCAAGGAGAAGTTGAGTTGCTATGGTAACGATACAAAATATAGTCTTCTAGTTGGTCGAAAATGATAGGTGTGAAGTTTTCAATTAAAAAATTACAAAAGATTGCTTTTGTAACATAAAAAATAATATGTTTCACACGGCAGTCAATCTACTACTTTGCTGCCTAGTAAGACAAATAACTATATTTGTAATGATGTAATGAAAATTATTATAATTATTATTACCTACTACAGGTCAAAAATAGTAACAGGAATCCATTGTTTGGACGCCATTGTATAATTTTAGGAAATTCAGTATAATAAAGCATATACCGCTTCTAAACGGAATCAAAAATACATTTCATATTCAACACAAGATTGTAATCTTGATTGAAATATATTTTTTCTGCAACCGACACAAAAGTCGTCCATTTTGATACCAAAATTAGCTCTTAAATTGACGTTTCTATTACTGACACTAAAATAGTTATGTTGCTAAGCAACATATTTAGTTCCTAGGAGCTAAAGTTGAATTTTAGTTCCTAGGAGCTAAAGTTGAACTTTAGCTCCTAGGAACTAAAAATGATGTACTGGAAGTCATCAAGAATAAACAACATTGTGACGGTTGGTTATCTGGGTTGAGACGCATACCTGATTTGTTTCCGATTTCAGCAGATTTGGCATTTCATACCCATGCTGGAGATATAAATACACCTTATTATAGTTTAGTATTGGAATTATAAACATCTCAGTTAAGTATTTTTGTTTTGATCAGGGAAGCCTTCAAGATTCAAATACTTGCTTGATCTGTATTCCATTCGTTATTCTCTGGATGGATAACTTGTTTTTGAATAATCACGGCAAGCAATAGTTTTTTTGTCTCAAACAACGATATTGTTTAGCTTCATTTGATTATCAAACACAGTGTAGTATGGAGAGGAATAAATAATCACTATTATCATTGTTGATATGCTCACTAACCTAAAATTTTCCACGTCTTGTTCCTATAGCTGGCTCTAGCGCGGTGTTTGCCATTAGAGCACCTGGTCCATACACAAATATTTCACTCTGTGGTGGTATTTATATTGAAACTACAATTCGAACATCCTAGAAAACCTAACCTGCTGTTAATGCAGGTAGAATATTCTCACCACATGGATTATTTGTCAATATTTGTTGCATTGCATACATATGGTACGGCATTGGTGGTTACTTCAAATGTTTATTTGAGTTAATTGTTTCGGTTGCAGAAAAAATAGCATGTTTCATTCGGATCAAAAGTGACTTTGTTCGACTCGCAAATTTTGCTTTCGCTCGGCTTCGCTAAACGCTCCGCCTCGCAAATGCAAAATTCGCTTGTGAAACAAAGTGTCACTTTTGATCCTAATAAAACAATCTACTATTATATCGAACAACAATTGAACATACATTTTCTAATCCGTTTGGAAGCCAGTATATCTTTTATTACACACGTGCAAATAGAATAGAATTTATTGATCTCATAATATCAAATAATGACATAAGACAGGTCAAAAAGAACAAATTAAAATTGAAAAGTCTAGCCGAAACTAGAGCATTTACCTTGAAATACTAAAATTGGCCAGTAATATAGGTCAATAAATACAATATACAATCACATAATACAAAACTAGAACAGATAATTCAACGATTATTTTCAAAATATTCTTCAACCGAGTATGGACATGTCAATGAGATAATTTTTAGTTTTCTCTTTAAATTTATGCACCAAGGCAATATCTTTAAAACATTGTGGAAGACTGTTGTATAGTTTAATTCCCATTAATCTAGGTGATTTCTCACAGATTTCTATTCGCTGGTAAGGTATAGAGAAGTCTGATTTATATCTTGTGTCATGAGCATGGATATCACTATTTCGTAAATAATCGTTTTTATTTCTATGAACTGATCCAATATATAAATACCGTAAATAGTTAAAATTCTCAAGTTGATAAAAACAGGTCGACAGGAATCTACAAATGAGATGTTTGAAATACATCATAAAATTCTTTTCTGCGACATGAAAACACTTTTAGCATGAGGAGAGCTCCCCCAAATACCAATTCCATAACTGATCCTAGACTGTATTTCACTAAAGTAAAGTGAACGAATGTGATTTATATTGAGTGTTTTTCTTAAATTTCTCATTTGAAAACATTTGGAGTTCAACATCTTGGATAGATTTAAACAGTGTGCTTTAAAGGACAAATCTGAATCAAATAATACACCCAGAAATTTCACATTTTTTTTTTCTTGTTATGTTTGAGTCGTTAACCAATATATCAACTAGTGCAAAAAGTGTATGTTTTATGCATGATGCATAAAGTTTGCGTCTCGCGACGACGTGGAAAGCTGCAATTATGTGGATTTTTTTTAAAGAATGACTACTCATTTCCAGAAAAAGGGGAATGTAATCCCTGTATTGGCGACTATAGTTCTCTGTAACTATTTTTGAATTGTACTGTTGTCGTGGGTATACATAAAAAGATAGTGTGCCGAAATTGAAAAATAGCATATTTGTATTTCCTTAATAATATACAATGATGAAGATAACAAAGAATTAATTGCCTTTTAAATTGCACTATCAATACTTCTTATTATTTTCTCTTTTTGCGTTATATTTGATATGGTTTCGTGAGCATTAGTTCACATTTGTAAACAACAGGATTACATATTGCGATATTTTGCACATATATTTTTCAACTTTCAACACATGTTACACCATATATAGTGCTTTTCAGGCCGGGGGTATCCTAAATGATACAGGAACTATCATTTTGTCTGAATGGCGGTGTATTCTCTAGAATACATGTGTGGGTATAAAAAAAAACTTATGGCAATGTTTGCAAAATGTACAATTGGTGAAAATTAACTTGGCCCGTGAGGTCAGCTTCGGAAATTTTAGCTCGGCAGTGAACGTGTCAATAATGATTGAATACTGTCTGTAATATTGTTTAATTTTTCAGCTATGCGACTCCATGGGCGAAGCCACTGCCAAGATGAACATCTCTGATTTGAAAAAAATACTCGACATACCTGAAAGTCCGAATGATAACTCGGATTCATCTAAGTCAACATCCAAGTCTGATTCGATGAATAATGTATGTCATGAACATTTACATAGGGTTAGACGCGAAAGCATGGAACAGCTTAGTCTTATAAAGGTAGTGCTAATATTTTTTGTCTGTAAATAATTTATCAAGTGTATATTCATTGAAAAACATAATACTGGTGGATTTTCTCAATCTTGAACTAGACCAGGTTTGAATGATACTTGTCTTTGAAGAAAATGGTAGTTGGTCATTATTATTATTCTCTTTCACATTTGAGGGTGTTTTTTGTTCCAGATTCTGCTATGGAAAAATTGAATTATTTTTTCAGGCATAATTTTGATAGTCATTTTTGAATATGATATCACTTTTCTCTGAACCCATTCTGAGAAAAAGCAAATCATGTTTTTTTCAGGTAAGTTGAGGGGTCCTAAATAAAGTATCAGAAGTCTCCGAGGTATGTTACCTTGAAGCGGGGTAATGAACATAATTTTTTGTGAATATCTCGATTTCTATTGACTACGGCAAAATATATGAGGAATAAAAAATGTAGGCTGTATTTTATAAATACAATCATTTAATTGGAGAATTTGAGTAAAAATACAAGAATGATAATAATTTCCATGGTTTTTCATAATGCATGAGTATACCTGATATGGAAAAATGATGATTAATGATTGATAGTGCATTCGATGAATTTCGTATTCTTAGCCGAACTAGCTTTTTATTGCTATATTTCAAACATAACAAAAATATGTTGAAAATCACTCCTTAATTATCTTCTTACATTTCATATAGCTTCTAGCAGAAGTTTTTTATATCGTGGAATTCAGAAATTTGTTTTCCCAAATTAAATTTGCTTTGCTGTGCTTAATCTTCGTTTCTTCCTAAGGAAACCACCATTAACTCCGTTATTTCATTCTCCATGTGTTGTATGGTCAAATAACTCACCGAAAAAAAAAACGATCATCCTAAGAATTAGTTATTTCATGTAAAGTGGTAAATTTTATCTAGAGAGTGGTAAAGGTTGAAGAGCATCTTTTTGATGGAACAAGGTGTAAAAATTGGGGGAAGAAAACAATCAATAATAAACAAATTCAATTTGATAATAGTAGTAACAGTAACAGAAAACGTGTTTAAGGTAGCTTCATAAAATCTTTTATAGTGGACGCTCTCTTTGCCAGTGAGTTTTTCTTTGCATTATTGAATATTTTTGAGGAATATTGAACAACCTCATCCGTAACTGGAAATAACGAATCAAACACCCTCGTGTCTGTGGTGATAAGTTATTCCAATACCCCTAGTAGCAAACTTAAAAAAAAAGGTATGAATTAAAAAAAAAAAATGGGCTGAGAGAAATAGTAGAATTAAAAGTCGTATAGAAAACTGAAGAACATATAATCGAAGTAAATTCAAAACCAAGAAACAAATATTTTATACAAATTTCCGTATCTCTTTAACTGGAGGCTCTAGCTCAAAGGATAATTGCAGACCAATTTCTCTCATATCGCTACTACTTTGGACAATCACTAGTTGAGTAAAATTGACTTAAAGCTAAATATCAACCTCTAGTTAAACTGTTTATCATGCCCTGAAAGCTCTAGATTCTGGTATAATTGTTTGATGATTCACCCTTTCCATATCCTGCTATGATAACAATTATTATTAGCTCTACATCATTTTAAGATTCGCTTTTCCCATAGCTCAGTTTTGTTTTTCATTCCTTCACATTTTGGTGTCATGTTAAATATTGACAATCGTATAGAAGTTTCACGTTATCAACTATTCTTTTTCAAATTGCACATCAGCTCTCTAATGTATGATCAATGAATAAAAACATTCTGTAAGTCATTTGTTTGTTCAACTCCTGTCATTGAGAAGTGCCAATACCGAAGTCCTAAGACAATCTGGTGAGAATATTTTTTTACATTTCCATTTTGAAGATATGAGCGAATTCCTTTTCGCAAGTCTGCCGGAAAGGACTAAATTACTGAAAAAAATTTGACCTTGGAATGAAATATTTTTAACATTTATAAAAATATGGTTATGTGGAAACCGAAATATTAGGTTACTTGTCAAGTTGACAAGAAAACTATTCATGATATCCTCATTGCATATAATTGATGACCTTCAAAAGTAAATACGGTACAGTTTTACTTGAACTGTCACGAAGTATATACATTGCTTGATTCGCTATTTGAGACAAAATTCTCAAGTAACTGGATTGTTATTGTAAATTTTGAAATGTACTTACATGTACAATTTTTGAGTGTCCATTAGGGTTGAAATTATGAGTTTCATTAAATCAAATCTATGCTTCATTAGTCCTAAAAAGAGTAATATCATTCACAAAGCATTAAATGTGTCGTTAATCTAGGTCATTGAAAATATAATATGATAATATAATAATACAATCGTGAATATACCTAGGTAATTACTATAATTATAAAACTTGTATAAAATAAGAAAACAACAAAGAACAACACCACAAAGAAGTAATTCACGTTATAAAACATCCAATGAATATTCATTAATGTAATAAGAAAAAAACAAAGAACAAAACCACAAAGAAGTAATTCACCTCCAAAATTTAGAAGCTATGTCAAAATTTTCATTCTAAAATGTAAATGGCATTGTGAACTGCCCTGAAATATTAGAAACATTATCATTTCACACCTATCCAAGGGCTACGAGAACCTGTCACACTTTCTACGTGTAAACCCACCGTACGACAAAAAAGGAATACATAATAAAACTTTATATTATAGTGAGGATGCAATATTTTAGTATTTCGAACCTGCTGCATATATATATTAATACTTGTACACATATTTTAGTTTTCATTTGTTTTCGATGTTTGTTTGCTCGTTAGTTTAGTCATAATTCCCTATAATGTACCATTTGGAATATTTACCGAATTCTGTAGTGTACTCAGTAAATAAATGAATCTTTGCCGCTCCATAAGAGGGTGGCATCATCAGCAAATACTGTAAACTCTGCTCAAACCTTCATTTCGGTCAAATAATTAATATGAATTGAAAATAGAACTGACCCTTGTGGAATACCACTACCAGCATTTTACTAATTGTTTTCTACCAGAAAGGTGAGAATCAAACCAATCTAGAACAACACCCCTGACACCATAGCACTCTAGTTTAGAGTGATTAACGCAATCAAAACTCAGAATAGTCGCAGAAGACTGCTTCTGCAACCTTGCCGTTGTTTAAATTAGTGTATACATTTTATAGAAATGAAAATATAGCATCTTCAGTATTTTTGTTGTTTTGAAATCCAAATTGATATTTAGGCAGTATTTTTTGGTACACTAGAAATTCTAGGAGCCGTTTTTTCACTAACTTCTTTATTATTTTCGACAGAGTTAGAAGTAATGCTATTATACGAAAGTTTGATGGAGAATTGTTAGGTACAGTTTTGTGCATAAACAAGTACAAGGTTTGTATGGTGTAAACCTGTAAATCCGAAAAATCTATCTTAGGAAATGCAAAGTTATGTACTTTTATATTTTTTACCACAATCAAAAGGCCATTATGATTTTTCCAGGTTCTTCTCGCTTGTATTCTAGTCGTGAAGTTGATAGAAAACGAGATATTCAGGAATATTCGTTCAGAGACAGGATTTCACCATATGTAGTTAAGCTCACTCTTCCCACCTAGAGGACTTTTGATACTTCACATATCACCTGAAAATTAACTATTTGCATTTATATGAATTGGTTTAAAGTTCGGGCTTATTTTTGACTGAAGAGTAGACTATAAGCAGCACCTGTTTAAGGTGGTTTAGCCACAAAGTGATCAAAACTAAATCCAGTTTGAGTAAATTATTGACCTGTGATTATAATTTCATTGATTGATGTGACGAATGTTCTCAATATATCTGGTATTCTTCATGATCATAAAATAAGTGTGGAATGAGTCATTTAATTTTAAATCATCAGATATGTCTGCTAGGAATGCATTTTCTCATCATCAGATCGATTTTGGCTACATTCTATATTTTTATGCTTCAATTTAATCTGGCCACTATTTCATCTCATATTTTAATGAGAAATAAATGCATCAGTTTTTAAGATATTCGCGAACTGGACTGATTCAAAGATCATACAAACTCTAGAGTCTAGACAGACACCGGTCATAACACGGCAGGCAACATCTACCAAAGATGAGGTTCAACAGATGTTTTTACTACGGCAACTAGAATAATTCAGATTACTGATTTGTACTATGCAGATTGCCAATTCATATGTATTGACAACGTTGCCATTTATTCTTGCATACTCCTATAGTTGATATATAATGTAAGATAATGATGATTGATGTGTTGAGGTACGTTCGGGTTGTGGCTTTGGAATAACGATGAAAATATTTTTGAATGTGACTTGATATAATATAAATATTTTTGATAACAAGCAATAAGTATTGAAATGGATTTGGTTTTCAGATTTGAGGAAAATCATTTTATACACGTGTATAACGGAAGATTTTGTCGTCCAAGCTATATTATATTGTAACAGGGTATCCCTAAAAGGTCTTTACAGAAACTTACCACATATTCCTCAGACTAAAACAGTTTTCAAATCGTTTTTGTTTCATAACTTTGAAAAGGCTCATGAAATTTTACTCAAATTTAGTATGTTGGCATAGCTTTATTTGGCAATAAAACCCATATCATGATCATGATGAATATCATTTTGTGGGCTTAGAACTTGATTTTTTCAGTAAATAAACATCTAAAACTTTTACGCCATTGGAAAGAAATGGGTTTGAATATGAAATTCGGATTTCGTAACATGATAACTACAAAAAAGGTACTCTTGATAAAATTCGATTACTCCCATGATTTCGACAAAATTTAAAGATTCAAAGCATCAGTCAACACCAAAACGATTAACAGATCTTTCATAAAAATTGTTCAAATAGTATAATTTCCACGTATACAAAGATTATTCGACGAAAAGAATGGATACAAGTACACTCACCTCACTTCAAAGTTCTAGACTGCTCTGACTTACTCACTACAAAATAAACAACAAGAACTAGCTGATAGCACATTTCAATTTATTTCGTCGTATATGTACGTATTTCGTTTGTATACGT